TTGATAGGGCGGCACGATGGCCCAGTGGTTACTTAGCACTGTTGACGCACAGCAAGAATGTCACTGGTTCAAGTCTTTACCAGGCCAGTTGGAGTTTACTCGTGCTCGAGTGGGTTTACCCCGGCCTCCCCGGTTTCCTCCCACAGTCCAAACCCATCCGCCATTGGTGAATTGACCAAACCAAATGTCTTGGCCTGCAGTGCATCTCTCTATAGCAGTCCCTAATCTGTCATTAGCTATAAATAGCTGTTTGATTCGTGTTCGTGATCAGGTGGTTTTGTCCGTGGTGAAACGGTCTCTGGTGTGTGTAAAGTACACCCATCGTAAACTCATCAGTCATATACCAGCAGACAGAGAAAACGTTGAATCTGTACTAATCACAGATTTTAGAATTGTACCCTCGTAAAATGACGAGTACGCTCCGTTTTCCTTTACGATTTTATAATTACAGATGCGTGAATTTTATTTCGCACAAAATATTTATGGCAGTGGATTTATTCCATAATTAATGAGCTCAAGAGATTTCTGCTTTGCATTTCTAACATCACTAAAACAGACATTTGTTTTATAAGTTAACCAAATATTCAGCAGTTTTTTCAGAAGGCACTGTGGCCAAGTGTGCAATGTAAAGCAAGTCATTGTGGCCCTGTTGACGCGGGTGTTCGGGTTCGTTTTCATCAACTTCAGTTATTTACAAGAAAAGAAATGTATTGAAAAGTTTGAGCTGAGGTAAACGCACTTTATGAAAAGACTAGCCTGCATGTGCATTAAATATTGAAATAGATCACTAATTTCCTTTATTTCCAATTAGACCATGCACTTTATTCTGTTTTACAGTTTTAATATGTATACATGCCTTTTTTAAATAACATTTGTTCAACAATTATTTAAGCACATAGAAAGTATTTGAATTAGCTGTCTTTTGATTAAAAACTTGTGTGCAGAGGGAAAGGATCAGGAACTGATGTCAGAATAAAGCAATCATCCAACACATGCATCTCTCTCATGCCATGTTGGAGGACACATTTGCATCTGAGTGCTGCTTTGAATAGAATAAAATTATTAAAAAGCACATTTAAGACTATACACATAAGATAAAACATTCACAAAGGTGTATCGTATGGAAAAACACACATCTATGGGCGCCGCTTTCCGTTATAAAAGGAATTTTGCAAGAGGAAAAGATTAAACATATCGGGTCTGTTAAAGAACATTCTGCTTTATATATTCTTCCCACAGCTCAGATTATGAATGACGGAGTGTAAAGCCTTGTCTCCTGTGTGCTCCAGCAGCGCGGCCTGCTGGTTATGAATGAGGAGGCAGAGAGACTGCGCTGTTTAGTGCTGATTGCACTAAATGATGTCTGACTTTACTGTAGTTTTTAAATGGCTGTGCTAATAGTATACAGTGCTGTGTTGAGCATTATCAGGACGTGTCACCAACATCTGACTTTTTTGCATTGAAAAAATGTCCAGAGCAAACTGTCATAATGAAAACAGGACTAAGCCATTTGACTATGACATTTGAACAATGCTGTCAGGACTCTTTATCTTGATGACACTGACACTTTGATTGACATGAATACTTGCTTTTGAGGAATGAACTATCCATTTTGAGCATGTGACGTGCTTTTGCAGGTTATCAGCTAGGTTTTGCAGTTTGCACTAATTGTTTTGAGAAATGCATGAACTGTTGTGCAGAAATGCACTGGTGTTGTGAGAAACGCACCAAAGCAACTGAGAAAAACTGTGATACCTCAGAAGTATATATTAGTACCTAAAATTTCAAGAGGAACACTTTTGTATTTTTTAGGTACTAATAAGCACCCTTGAGGTATTAATATGAACCTTTTAGGTACAAATATGTACCTTTTGAAAAGAAACCGCCCAGTGCAGCTCACGTGCCTTCATTTCTGAGTGTGTACCACAGTTACTTCATTACTGTTGCTCCATTACGAAAAGTGATGCGGACGAGCTCAGATGTGCAGAAATGACAGCGCAGACAGCAGAATGATGTGGACAGCTTCATATTTGCAGCACTACACATCACGTCTGTACAGCACATGTGTCAGTGTGGTGTTTATAACCGTGTTCCTGAAACTGAACATATTAAATGTTCATCAATAATCATAAAGCGCTTTCTAAACCGTATTTTCATTCTCTCCATATAAAGCTGTCTCTGCTCTAAAATGCTCTGATAGGAACACAAGAGCTCCTGATGAAGGAGTGACTGCAGAGCGGAGCAGAGGCTGATGCTCACTGCCCGCATCCACACTGCCCGACTGAGATAACAGAGGGGGACATAAAACATTACAGTTCACATGTGCTCGAGCACCTCCAGACCTTTACATTTATTTCTCTGTTCAACAAAAGATGATATTAGTGAGGGATCTGGCAACCCCTGCAGCACGCCACAAATGAGTGGGGAAATATGAGGTCCGGGGCTCACCGATCCCAGCACTGTCACTCGTGTACCCGTGTTCAACAGTAGAGGCACCGAGACTGCTCCGGGATCAGTGCATGGCGAGGACTGAACTCAAGTTTCCTGCTCGGAAATAAACCCGCTCCGGGATCACAAGTGGAGGAGTATCCGAGCACAGACGCAGAACTGCCGAGCCTGCGGCGGAGTTTGGGCCAAACGGACACTAATATACTGCGTTTGACTGTTATGATGGACATGGAGGACACTCCAGACTCACCAACACACCGCCAAACATGAATATTACCAAACACTTCGATATTCGAAAACTATCGTTTCAACACACACACACACACACACACACACACACACACACACACACACACACACACACACACACACACACACACACACACACACACACACACACACACACAGCATTTAAACGCCTGCGGTAAACAGATGTACGACAGCAATTAAAGGACGGAACCTTCTCATTTCTCAAAGTATCCCCCGTGTAATGTGCAGCGTGCTCGCGGGCTCTGCAGTCAGGTCAGGTCAGTAAGGTTACTCGGCTGATG